TTGTCAGATTCAAGATGGCAAATACCAGTCCATTTCAACTCATTAATGCTTAAGATATTGATGTTTATGTGTTCCATTACATTTTTGACAATTTCCAATTTTCCTAGATTCATACATCTTACATTCTATGTTCTGATTTTCAATGGATGTTTACAGATATTTCTCTTCATTTGAGTTGTGCCCTTCAGCAAATGAAGGGCTTTACTCCATTCTTGTCATCACAGTCAACTCCACTTTGAGAAGGCAGCTGCATTTTGAGTGCCTTCCAACCTGAGGGGCTCATTTTCTGGCACTATTTCTGACGGTGTTTCTCTGCTATTTATAAGGTTTTTAGTGAGTAAATATTCAGAAGTAGTTTGTCTCTCCTTCTTCCTAGTTTGCTTCATTTGGAAGCTTATCTGAAACATGTCCATCATGGGTGACTGCTGGCATTTAAAATATCCATGGCATAGCTTCCAGAATCACAGCAACTCACAAGCCACCACAGTGGAATAAAAATTGAAATATTTCAAGAAAGTGAGACGGCACTGGAGACACTCACTCAACTATGTCAAGAAATTTGGAAGACAACTTTCTGGCCAACCGATTGGAAGACATCTGAGTTTGTGCCCATTTCAAAGAGAGATAACCCAATAGAATGCGGAAATAATTGGATAATATCTTTGATATCCCATGTGAGTAAAGTTTTACTAAAGGTAATTCAGAAACAGCTGTAATCATACATTGACAGAGAACTTTCAGACGTTCAAGCCAGATTCAGAAGAGGACATGGAATGAGGGATATCATTGCTGATGTCCAATGGATCTTGGCTGAAAGCAGAGAAACCAGAAAGATGTTTACCTGTGTTTTATTGACTATGCAAAGGCTTTCGATGTTTGGATCATGACAAGCTATGGACAACATTGTAAAGTATGAGTATTCCAGAACACTTAATTGTACTCATGCGAAATCTGTACATGGACTAAGAGGCAGATGTTAGGACAGAACATGGGAACACTGAATGGTTTAAAATTAAGAAAGGTGTGTGACAGGGTTTTATTCTTTCACCATACTTATTCAACCTGTATGCTGAACAAATAATCTGATAAACTGGGTTATATGAAGAAAAAATGTGGCATCAGAATTGGAGGAAGACTCATTAACAACCTGCGATATGCAAATGATACAACCTTGTTTTCTGAAAGTGAAGAGGACTTAAAATGTTTACTGATGAAGATCAAAGAGCACAGCCTTCAGTATGGATTGCATCTCAATATAAAGAAAACAAAAATCCTCGCCACTGGACCAATAACATTTTTATCAATGGAGAAAAGATTGAAATTGCCAAGGACTTCATTCTTGTTGGATCAACTATTAACACTCATGGAAGCAACAGTCAAGAAATTAAACAACGTATTGCATTAGGCAAATCTGCTGCACAAGACCTTTTTAAAGTGTTGAAGAGCAAAGATGTCAGCTTGAGGACTAATGTATTCCTGACCCAAGTCATGGTATTTCCAGTAACCTCATATGCATGTGAAAGTTGGACAGTGAATAAGGAAGACCGCAAATGAATTGAAGATTTTGAGTTATGGTGTTGGAGGAGAATATTAAAAGTGTCATGGGCTGCCAGAAGAACAAATAGATCTGTGTTGGAAGGAGTGCAATCAGAGTGGTCCTTGGAGGCCTTCATGGCCAAACTTCATCTGTCATACTTCAGACATGTTGTCAGGAGGGACCAGTTGCTGGAGAAAGTGGAAGATCAGAGAAAAAGAGGAAGACCCCCAGCAAGATGGATTGGCAAAGTGGCATCATCAATGGGCTCAAGTGTAGCAACAATTCTGAGGCTGACCCAGGACCAGGCAGTGTTTAGTTCTGTTGTGCATAAGATTGCTATGAGTCGGTACCGACTTGGTGGCACCTAACAACAACAATGCAGGCATGGTTCAATATTAGAAAAATAATGAACATAATCCACTACATAAATAAGAAAAAGGAAAAAAAAAAACACATACAGCAAAGGCATATAACAAAATCCAACATGCGTTCCTGATAAACACTCAACAAAATTAAAAGAAAGAATTGGAACCAACTCGGTGGCACTTAACAGCAACTTACAAAATCAAGAGCCAAAATCACTCCCCATGGAGAGAAATTGAAATTATTCCCCTTGTGATCAAGATCCAGACAGGGATGTCCTTTATTACTATTCCTACTGTATATAGGAGCTCTGGTAGCATAGTGGTTACGAATCGGGTTGTGAACCACAAGGTCAGCAGTTTGAAACTACCAGTTCCGTGGGAGAAAGAGGAGGCTTTCTACTCCCGTAAAGATTTACAGCCTCAGAAACCCTGTACAGGGTCGCTATGAGTCAGAACCGACTCTACGGCACATCACAACAACAACTCAATATTGTGTTGGAAGTCTTAGAGCCATAAGACAAGAAAGGCAAATTGGCAAAGAAGTAAAATTCTATTTAAAGATTGTATGACCCAATACATAGAAAATTCCAAAGACTCAGCAAGAAAATTATTGGAACTCATTGAAAGATTCAGCAAAGTGGCAGGGTACAAGATGTTGACAAACATCAGTTGGATTCCTTTCTTATAACAAAGAGAGCTCTAAAAAGGATAAGCAAAACAACACCATTTGCAATCACCACCCAAAAGATTAAATACTTAAGAATAAATCTAACAAACAAAAGTATAAAATACTACTACAAGAAACCAAAAGAAATGGAAGAATATGCCATGTTCATAGATAACAAGATTTAGCATTGTGAAAATGACAACACTACCTAATCTCTAGATACAATGCAATTCCAATCCAGATTTTAACTTCATTCTTTAAAAACTGATCAATAACTTTATATGGAAAGGAGAGAGACATTGGATAAATAAAGCATTACTTAAGAAGAACAAAGTTGGAGGTTTCTCACTTCATAATCTTTTACCTCAGCCACAGCAGACAAAACAGACTGGAACAGTTACAATAAATACATAGATAAATGGAATTGAATTGCGAACCTAGAAGTACATCCACCCACCTATGCTCAATTATATTTGGCAAAGGACCAAAACACATTACATGGGTAAGAGATAGTCTTTTAAACAAATGTTATTGTTGTTAAGTGCCTTCAAGTTGCTTCCAATCCATAATGATCCTGTATAGGGCTTCCGAGGAGCAGCTTGTCAGCTTGAACTGCTGACTTTGCAATTCAACATTGCAGTCCAGCGCATTAACCCACAGCACTATGCTGGAAATTCCTTTGTAGAAGAGTGAAACAAGACCCATATCTCACACCATATAAAACAAACAAACGCAATGTAAAATAAAGACCTAAATATAAAACCCAGAACTTTAAAGATCGTCAATGAAAAAATAGGAACTAAGGAGTTCTGATACATGGCATAAATATACTATCAAACACAACTAAACACAAAAGCAGCCAAAAGACAAAATAGATGACTGGGACTTCCTAAAAATTAAGATACTCAACAAAATGTACATTATGCACATCAAAAGATTTCACCAAAAGATTTCACCCACAGACTGGGAAACATTTTTGGCAATGACATATTGGACAAGGTGGTTATGTGCGTGGAGTCCATTTTGACTCATAGCAATCCTGTACAGGATTTCTGAGGCTATAAATCTTTACAGGAGCAGATAGCCTCATCTTTCTCCCTTGGAACAGCTGGTATTTTTGAATTGCTGACCTTGAGTTTAGCAGCCCTATTAGTAACTTTCTAATACCACAAGATCAGCAGTTCAAAACTGCCAGCTGCTCCGCC